CAACTGTTACGGTAGGCACACCAACAACACAGACATGTGAACTGTCACGGCAGCAGAAGACACAAGAAGCGCGCACTCTCTTTTGCTGCCGACAGGGGTATGTTGCGAAAGCTTGTCATGCACAAAAACGGGTGCACACACCCTGCAGAGACGGCAGTCCGTCATCGCACACACACCCCCGTTCGTCAAAGGGATGACGGTCAGGAGAGGGTTATGATGGAATCCACCAATGCAGCGAACCTGCACCGCACATCTGAAGTCACAATCTCAAGATGCCCAGGCAGCAGTGAGGTACCGACGCATCTGCTCGGGTGGTCGGCCAAGTTACTGCACGAGGGAACCTTAGCACACCAGGGCAAGATTGTGCTTTCTTCGCATAGCACCGCGAAGATGTGACAAATCTTAGTGATCGACCAAGCAGCGGAGCAGCCCTTTATCAAAGAGAATCTGGCACCCTCATTGTCCATATAAAGAACGCACTCGCTCGACGCAAGGTGGCCACACCAGAGCTGAAGGGCGAGGACAACGGCGATGGCTTCGAGTTCACCTATACCCGTTTCTGCTTTCTGCGGTACAAGAGGCTTGATGTCCGCTTCACCCAAAGGTAAGGAGAACCAACTTCTCACCGAACCTGTTGGGGAAATCAGCACACCGCCGAGGCCGCCTGTGAAGTAAGGATCAAAGCTCGCATCGGTGAACACTAGCCACGGATGTCCCAGCGACCTTGTAATCCTCCTGGGTTGGCCCTCCGTGATGCGGAGATGAAGGAAACTCAAAGCCTGGAGCGTCTCATTGCTCAGTTTCGCAACAAACGGCCATGCATGGATGTGCGCACTGAGGTGCTTCAAGGCGAACTGGCCAGCCTTGCCCATGATCTGGGAGTTTGCAAAGGCTAGCTTCCCACGCAACTCCAGGCCTTGGCAATGTCTTGCTTCCTCTTGCAAGTATTGTGGACAACCACAACACCCTTGTCGCTCTCCGAGAGATCGAAGCACAAGCCGAGCGCCGACACTTGCCGGGAAAACACATCTGCTTTCGGGCCCTCTGTGTCGAAGATCACACCTAACAAACGGAATAGCAGCTCCATCGTGGCACCGGTATTCGAGGCGAGGCAGTCCGGTGCGGCCACAATGAAGTCATCGTAGTAAGAGGTGGTGGGTACGAGGAGACATGTCGTCGCCAACCACTGTATGCACCTCGAGCATCTGATGAATGCATTCACGGAAGCACGGGATCCGAAGGGCAGGCAGATCTGAGTAAAGAGTGCAACCTTCTTCGTGTGCGGGTTGTACACAGCAATGACAGCATACTGTCGCGAAGCCAACGAGACACAAAGCTGCCGGTAGGCAGCAGTAAGGTCAAACGAACGACCCTTGATGTGAGAGGATCTTTTGGCCTTCGCAAGTCGCTCGCATAGTTTGGCAAACATTGCGGCTGCCACATCGGCCGTATCTACGGTAGGCTGTTCAAGGGTAGTCACGCAGGCATTCACTCCACTCCTGCTGTAATCGTCGATTGGTCTAATTTTCTCGCCCTGTTGTAGCGGGAAGCGGTGGGAAACTATGTGGCCCTCTGGTAGGTCCTCCCAGTCAAAGGGCCCGAGCAGCCATCCACGCTCTGCCTCCTGCATAGTCTTGTCCCATAGCTTTTCGTCCTGAACTTTGCAGCCTGATGAACCCAAAGTGGTCTTCAAGGCCTCATTGGTCCGAGCAGCGGCCGCTCGTAAGTCATCGGGGTGCATCGTCGCAGGAGTGACCTGGGGCAGGATGTTGGAGACCGGCGAAGTGCCGACCAAGTCAAAGCCAGCCCTCATGTCGTGAGCAAGGTTGGTGTCCTCATAGCCCTCGGATGCAATTATTTCATCCAACAATTGCAACCTCTTCTGGCGCAGCACGCAGTGCATGTGGGGGTCGGAGACCCCCCACTCAGGATCCGGATCTGCACCAATCTCTGCGGCCCGTGTTGTCCATTTCTCAAGCCACCGCTGCCTCTTCTTGATCACCTCATGCGTGGTGTGCACGCAAGCTGATCGACACATGAGTCGAGGTGGGGCGGCAAAGAGGAGACCACCGACCGCGGATGGCCCGCTTTGATGGCTGCCCGCACGAATTCGCTCTCTGTGTGAGGCACTCCGAAGGTTACAACACGTGGCGGCAGGCAGTCCTTGACATCTTCATCCTGGCGCGCCCGCTTGTGTGAAGGTTCGCCGCACACTGGTGTCACGACCTGCTGCGGCTCAGAAAGACTCCCCGGGAGTGGGAAACCCAAATCAAGAAGCGCCTGCCTTTCCGAGCGCGGGAGCTTGTCGAGGTGGGCAGGTGTGAACCCGATCAGAACCACCCGCCATGGGGAGTGGTCCTGACGACTGTGCCAACATCGTTTTGCACCCATATGCCCCCATCACGGAAGGATGTGAGAGGCACAACATAGTTCAGGGAACCCTTTAGGTTATTCATGTCCCTGTGCATGGGTGCACAAACATTGGAGTAAAGTGCAACGGCAGAGAACGTGGCATTGGGCACCTTAGCCTTCAACCAAGCAACAGCGGCCTTCACGACAGCTGGGAAAGTCCTTTTATTTTCCCAACGAAACTTTCGAAAGCGCGTGCTTCGGGGAACCCTCAACCGCGCT